ACATGGCGAAAGAGAGCCCAAGATGGGGGATAGTTTGAAAATAAAGAAAAAATGATTGAAAATGTTTCGACTAGCTGCTTCCAAAGTATCCGGGCGGATTCCTCACATCTTGTCTTTAGGAAAAGGTTTAAGAATAGCAGCCCGAAAAATGAAACATGAAAAGATGGGAAGTTTTGATACGCAGCGCATGAGAGAAAGTCACACGAGCAAGCCACTTCAAGCCAGATCCAATGCACGACATTAGCCACGCTAGCAACCCCGTTTGGTCGGACAAGGCGTGTAAAGCAAGCCACCCTTGTATAATCCGCCGGCAACGCCAAAAAGTCATGAGAAGACAAGAAAAACCGGCCGGAGAGGCACACGGACAAGCCACAGAAAGACAACAACCGACAAAAAGGCAATTTGGACTCGCCACATGTAGATCGGCGGCATAAAAAACACTAAAAAAGAAAAAAGAAATTATCGTCAGCGACAGGATTTGAACCTGTGCGGAGAAACTCCAACAGATGACCGTGGCCTTTTGATTGGCCATTCGAGTCTGTCGCCTTAACCACTCGGCCACACTGACAAGCTGTGCGTTGAGCTAATGCTCGCACTTTTAATTGGAGCCATTTTTATGCATATATAGCCCGCCTGCTCCTAGCCTTTTACTAGTTGCGCGCCGGCGCTTCTTTCTTAACTTGAGACCTTCAGCTCATGGATCTTGCAAATGTCTTTTGCCTGGAACATCATGTTCACAGCTAGGGAATATAATAATGACTATGCTAAAAGTCCCGGCTAGTAGATAACACGATGACACACGCTTAACGCAGCTATTGTCTAGCGGCGTTAACAATGTGTTCGTATTCGGCTTGACGTACTGGCTGAACGGATAGTCGACCACGTTTAATCAAGATCATATCTTTCAGTTGATCCATGTCTTTCATACGAGTCAGAGAAAGTACGTGGTCGAATTTAGACTCAAACTTGACATCAACCTACACCACAGCGAATAAATCCATCGAATAACATTAAGCGCACGCAGGTGATTCAATGCACAGCAAACGCCAAAAGCAACTTACCATAAACCACTTTGGCGAATCGGGGTCGGTTGACTTTGCATCATAGTAGGGATGCTCAGCGTCAAAGGCCGTGTAATCGGGGTACCCCTCGCGCACAA